AGGGTTTAGGGTGTAGGGAGTCTAGGGTCTGGTGGATGACCTGTAGGTTATACAGATAGAATTTCCGGAAATTGAATCCAGTCGAAACTCTACAGCTCTAAACCCAAAGCCCCTAAACCCCCAAGCCGACCCTAAACCCCAAAGCCCCTAAGCCGACCCTAAACCCTAAAACCGACCCTAAACCCTAAACCCCTAAGTCGACCCTAAACCCCAAAACCCTAAGTCGACCCTAAACCCCAAAACCCCTAAGCCGACCCAAACTCTAAAATCCCTAAGCCGACCCTAAACCCTAAACCGCTAGCTGACCCTAAACCCCTAAGTCGACCAAACCCCTAAGTCGACCCTAAACCCAAACCCCTAAGTCGACCCTAAACCCTAAAACCCTAAGTCGACTAAACCCCTAAGTCGACCCTAGACCCTAAACCCCTAAGTAACCCCTAGTCGACCCTAAACCCCAAAGCCCCTACGTCGACCCTAAACCCAATCTACAGCTCCAGAACCGGCGAAGCACGAAACCTCTTCTAAACCCGAGCGCAACACTTGCTACGCCAAGAGGAATGTTAGGGCCGTAATATACTTATAAGTCATACTATTAAGGTCCTTGTAATTTAGGGCATATTCCTTCACTAAGGGGTATTGGGTTCTCTGGGCAGGTTTGGCTTCGCTGCTCCGCCTGAACTCTTAAGCCCAAAACCCCTAAACCCTAAACCCCTAAGGTTTCGGGGTGTGGGGTTTAGGGTTTAGGGCCGTGAGCCCAAAACCCAACAAAACCGACGAAACCCCAAAAACCCATAAGGCCCTAAACCCTAAACCCTAAACCCTAAACCCTAAGCCCTAAGCCCAAACCCCTAAGCCCTAAACCCTAAACCGTATACCCTAAACCCTATAAACCCTAAACCCTAAGCCCAAACCCCTAAAACCTAAACCCAGGTTGGCTTCGCTGCTCCGCCTGAACAAGGCGCCCCGCTTTCAGGGAGGCCGCCCGGCTGCTCTGCAGCGCATCCTCGCCAGGAGCCGCGGGGAATTCTTTAGGGGTTGAGGGGTTTAGGGTTGAGGGGTTTAGGGGTTTAGGGTTTAGGGTTTAGGGTTTAGAGTTCAAGGGGTTTAGTTAGGGGTTGAGGGGTTTAGGGGTTTGGGGGTTTAGGGGTTTAGGGGTTTACGGGTTTAGGGGTTTAAGGGTTTAGGGGTTTAGGCTTTGGGGGTTTAGGGTTTGGGGGTTTAAGGGTTTACCTTAAACCCTAAACCCCTAAGCCCGAAACCCGGTTTAAGGGCTTAGGGGTTTTGGGGTTCAGGGGTTTAGGGTTTAATTTACAGGTTTAGGGTCTTATCGAAAGGTTCAGGGTTTCATTTAAGAGGCTGAGGGCTTTAGGGTTTCAGTAATTTCAGGGTTTAGGGTTTCATAGACTATGAAACCCTAAACCATTCTATGACTAGAAGGGTTTGGGGGTTCATTCAAAGGTTTTTTGGTTCGGGTTTCAGAACGGCTTAAGATAAGGGCCATAGTAAATCGAATCGGGTTCCGGGTATGTTATACGGCGTTTATACTAGGGTTTATAAGCGAATATAATAACAAATACCCTACGCCCTAAACCCTGAATTCATGTTTTGGGTCTGCGGCTCTTGACGGTTTACGGCTCTTGATAGTTTAGGGCTTCATGAGAGGCTGGCTGAAAGCCGTAGTCACAGTGTCTTGAACGGATACGAGGGTTGGGAGTTCTGATATAAGGCCTGGATTTAAAGAGCGCCTTTCAATGTTTCAAGAAATTCTGTTGACGATTTAGGGTGAATATTAGTATATTCTCATCTGCAGTGCTGGGATCCGAACCGATTAGGATTTGCCGAGGCCCCCAGCCAAAATGAGATCAATAGGGGTCCATGTGCCCATAAAGCATGCTTTGGCCCGAGTTCAGGTTTTAGGGCTTTTCTGAGGTTGAACCCATGCACCCCTAGTATGGGCCCTTAACCCTGGAATCCCATACACCTACTATATACCCTGTCGTCAATCACGGTTCCGGCCAGTGTCTGCGGGCGCGGAATTGGGAGGTCCATGGCGATAACCGATAGGGCTATCCGCCTGGATGATTCCATGCTGCAAGCAAATGCCTAAATGGCAACACTGTGCCAGCTCAACTGCCTGGGTATCCCCCATAGCACGGCACGCCAGGCCAACGTACAACTCAGACTGGCCATGCATCCAACTCCGGAATGCTTTGAAACCTGAGACTTCGCGGGGGCTCACGGTAGCAACGAGGCTGTTTCGTTTGCACCGTTCATCAGAAACTCGAGACAGATGATAGAAGTCCGGAATGTCTTTCGTGTTGATGTAGAGCAGCTCCCAGTGAGATGAGGCTGCAAAATAGGATCAACATCGCCTAGTGTTCGAATGAAGCGTCCCGGCGGTGCTTGTCCCTATCCATATATTAGGGGCCCATACGTCCAAACCTTCGAGCCTTCTACCCAAGGGCTCCTATGCAGTTCCTTTTTGGATAGTATACTATAATTCTTACCAAAAAAACCCATAGCAGATCCAAAAGGGAACTACATTGGAGCCCCTGGATACAGCCAAAGGCTATACTATGTGGGAGTTTCCGAAAATAAGGGGTACCTTATTTTGGGGTCCTTATAACAGGGATCCTACTATTTAGGGTACTAGATTAGGGTCCCCTATTTTCGGAAACCCCCATGTAGGCACACCGACCCGGGACTCCAAACCCCAAGGCCCTGAACCCTGATCCTTACCTGTCCAGTATCTTCGGGGAACTAAAGCTTAGGCTTTGCGATTATAGAGAGGTTGGGTGTAGGGCTTGGGGTTTAGGGTTGAGGGTTGAGGGTTTAGGGGTCACAGTACCCCGAAAAAGGTTGACGGTTACCTGCTCTCCTACCGTGGCCCTGCAGCCTCGGCCCTAAGCCCTATAGTACCCTTTACTGAACCCTTATGGACCCCTTAATTGAAGTTAAAAAAATAATAACCCGAAACCCTAAACTCCAAACCCCAAGGACCTCCTGAACCTCAGGCCCCAACTCCGTATAGAACGGAACCCTCCCAAAAAAGTCCCTAAACCATAAACCTGAAGGAAGCCTAACTTAGAGAGCTACCTACAAAGAGCCTTTATACTACCCTTATAGAAGCCCTCCATACTTGGAGGCCCACGGAACTTACTAAGTAGGTTGTAAGTAGACTTATAAGTACCCTAAATGGAGTTACCCTACTTATAGCCCTACTTTTCACCGAATTACTAAGTCCCCTGGGCCTCCAAGTCCCTAAACCCTAAACCCTAAACCCTAAACCTATATAGGAGCCCTTTAAGGGAACCCGAGGGCCTCAAAGTGGGCCACGAAGGCCCTGATCATCTCATCCACCAAGCCCTGCTGGAGCTTCGAGGTTTCGGTATTTGGGGGTTAGGGGTTTAGGGTTTAGGGTTTAGGGTTTAGGGTTTAGGGTTTAGGGTTTAGGGTTTAGGGGTTCAGGGTTTAGGGTTGGTTTAGGGGTGTACGGGTTTAGGGGTTTAGGGTTTAAGCGTTTAGGCGTTTAGGGGTTTAGGGCTTTAGGGGGGGTGGGGGGGTTGGGGATTTGGGGTTTAGGGTGTTTAGGGGTTTCCGGTTTAAGGGTTTAGGGGTTTAGGGGTTTCGGGGTTTCGGGGTGTAGGGGTTTCGGGGTGTCGGCCTGTCAAGCCATACCACAGGGTCACGGTTGTAGAAATCCCAGCTGGGCCGTAGTGAGGTCATGCAGAGCGCCCCAAAAACGCCCGAACTGTGACCGCATTTCTGCCAACTCCAAAGACCCTAAACCCTAAACCCTAAACCCTAAACCGTGGGCCATGG